CCTCATGTCCCTGATTTTCCTGGCTGAACTGTGTGCCCGTGAGCTGCCTCTGGCATATCAGCAGTGTTTCTGGGATGCAGTGGCGTATCTGTACCGATCTGCTGTAAAACGTAATACAGAAGCGCATCGGATCCCTTCCAGAAAGCACGGCACTTACCGCGCGGGGGATGTATCCCAGATTTCCAGATGTGCAGCCATCCTCTGAGCTATCGAATCTGTGCAGCGATGATTGAAATGGAGGATTTCCAGATACCAAGGGATAGAAAACTCCCAATATCTGCTTGGACAAAGCCTTCTGGTGAAAAAGCACAGCTGAGGGAAAGAAAAAGATGTATGGTCTTCTTGACACAGCGCAGGGAACTGTGAACTTGCTCCAGCCTTGAAGGAGGTACAAATCACTCCTGTGTCGTGCTGCACTGTTGGAAAAGGCTTTCCTGGCTGCAGGGGCAAAGCAAGGTATTACTGACAGTGCCTGAGCCTTGGAGACCACCTCGTGGACCTGAAAATCATGTGCTCAGTTGTTTTGCTCTAAGGCTTGAGACACGGTTGCGTGTTGTTGGGAAGGAGGAATCCTTTCTCCACAAAAACCAGACCAAGGAGCCTATCGCGCCTTCCCCCCTCTGTTATCATAAGGTGGGTCCCATGAGGCTCCTTATTTGCAGCTCTTGATTACACCACTTGTCGTTGGTTAATTTAGCATTCGTGTGTGTACAGTTGTTAAGTTAAAAATGTAGAGTAAGACCCTTCTAATAATAATTAAAAAAAAAACCCCTGCTGACAAAACAAAGCCCCGGGCATTGCTTTCAGGAACAAGCTGCAAAATTGCTCCCAGGTCTCTGCTGAGATCTGATGCATCGTCTGTGCGTTGCATGTAAATGGAAGTTTTGTTTTAAAATGTTATTCCATTTCCTCTTAAATGAATCACATCAGACCTAAACAATGAAGTAACTCCATCTTCTGCAAATACAACCATTGGACCAAATGATTTATTTTAAATGTCTTTTTTAAAGAGCCTTACTATATAATCACAGCGCATTTAAACAGACCATTTTCTTTTGGATGATGTATTGGTTTAAAATTCTGGTTTTGTTCAGCATTTCTGGATGGAAGGGGTTTTGTGCATCCCGACTTCCACGGGTCTGCCTGGAAACTTAGACTAAAGCGTGCCCAGGTCTGGGCTGGGAAATCCCAGACAACTGGCCAGAGCTAGTGGGAAGCTCTGGGCAACCTGGTGTAGTGGAGGGTGTCCCTGCCCATGGCAGGGGGGTTGCAACTGGATGGTCTTGAAGGTCCCTTCCAACCCAAACCAGTTTATGATTCCTCTGGGGATTGCTTGCAAGCTGAGTCCTTGATCTTGAGCTCAGTTACTTTTAGGAAGGGAGAAAAACTCTGGACTTACTTAGAAGGATCAACTTCTCCCTCGGATGGGAGTGAGTTTGCTGCTTGGGTTGATGCACAAGCTGAGCCAAGCCCAAATGGTTTGAGCTGAACAAAACAGTTACATCTGCAAGAGGACCTGAGGGAAGAGAATAGCCCAAATTCCAGCCTATTTCTAAATATTCTAGAAAGTATTCCCCTTCCTAGCAGCTCTCATGGCCAGTATACTGAGCAAGAAAACCAGAAATCAAGCAAATCAGTGCTGGTTTTTTTTTGTCCCATTCCTTAGTGGCTTTTGTGATTTACGACTCTGCCCTGCTGACATTTTTGGGATGGGAATCAAGTCCCAGAGCAGCAGAGCTGGCAGCCAGTGCTCTTCCTCAGACCTGGATAAGGTTTTCAGCCTGTGTTTGGCCACAGTAGAAGATGAAAATACTATCTGTGCAGCAGCACAGTTGAAAGGATGAATTAATTCTCTCAGCTGCTGGGTCAAAACTAGTTTGTATTACTGCTGGAGAAACAACAGGTGACTTTTGTGTCTAGTTCAGAGCCTGCAACACAGCTTGATGCTAAAACCTCTTTTTTTCTGGGTGGCAAAGCACTGAATTGGTGCCACTTCCTAACCATCACCTGCCTTCCCTGGCTGCCAAAGTCCAGCTCTCCTGGAAAAAACCTCAAACTCCCCCCTCTGTTCCCCATCACCCCTCTCCTGGAATTGCCAGGTGTGTGACAGATGAGCTCCGATCCCCATTTCTCCGTACACGAGCAGGGCTGCTCAGCTTGGAATTCTCCGGGGAGGGGGTCCAGGCAGGCTGTATAAATGGGGGCATTGCTGCCTCTTGCCAAAACAAGCCATACGCTGTATCTGCAAAGCTGTTTGAAATGGAAACGTGCCCAAAGCTTAACTTTATGGAAACATTTCCAGCTCCCTCATATGGGGATGCAAAAATAACCAGCAGTGCGTGCCCCCACCCCCAATCCTGAGGACTAGGGGTGAATTGGTGGCTCTCAAAAGCCCAGGCAGGTGTGCAGGCGCAGGGGGAAGTGCCTGCCGTGTGTCATAAAGAAAGAATGTCCTGTGATTGCTGTGTCAAAGTCCATTTCTTCGCCCCTGTTGCATAGCTTTTATTGAGCACTCTTGATTTTTCCAGATGTTTTTCTAAACAGAGTAGGATCCAGCCTGCAGTACCCCCGTGGTAGGTTCCCATGGATTTCACTGGACTTTGCTGGGTCCTGGAGTCTCACAGCACGGGCTTGGTCAGGTGTAACCCGGCTGATTCCCAGGGGAGGAAGGGAGCTGAGACTTGCTGTAGGTAAAGTGGAGAACTGGTGCCTCCCACCCTGGCCTGAGACTCTTGGACCTCTTTACTTGCTACATAATGCAGAAAAAAAACAAAGGATTTGATGCATTTTTCAAATTGCATCTTAGATTGTTACACCCCGTTGGATAAATTAATTCCATCCTTTTTGTAAACAGGCGGTTTCACTGACAGCAATAAAAATTCTTCGGTTATAGGTGACTCACGCAGAAATAGCTCACCATTACCAAGGTGGTTTGACCCAGATGGAAGTCAGTAAGTATGAATATTACATGGCTTAATGCAGAACTTCTCAGCCTTCTTTATCTGGGACTTTTATTTTAGTAGCCAGAGGAGAAAAACGCTTCTGTAAATCTGGAATTTGTGCTCTCCTAGTCAGGAGCAACGAGGCAAAAGCTGGACGTGGCTTTTTCTGAATTCTGTCCGTAGTCAAAATACTTGCTCAGCTTTCCCCAGCCTGCAGCACGACGAAGAGTCTCTTCAGCCTCTGCTTGTCAATGGTACCACCTTCACCAAGGTGGTTTCAAATGGATGGGTGGGGAAAGGGCTGGGGATGGTGCTGTGAGCTGGGCTGCGGTGCCTCTCGCAGGTCCCTCCACACCGTGTGTAAATCCTTTCGCTGTGCTGTACTAACACAAAATATTTCTTTCAGCAAGGAAAGATCTGTGACTCCAGTCGACGATCATGTTGCTGAATTAACTTGGCCTTGGCTAAACAAAGGACTCATTCAGACAGAGGAGAATGACCCAGTTACAGACTTGAGACAGAGTTATTTTGGTTTTTTTTTTTAAAGAAAAAAACCCTCAACCTTTTTAACTTGAGGGCATCGAAGTATTTAATGAATCGACCTTGCAGTTCTGATCCTTCACCCCAGGCAGACGTTGACCCTTCCTGCTGGTTACTGATCTCTCTCATTCCTCACCCATCTGTTAGCGGAGCCTCCCAAGTTCACGTCGTGTGTTGACTCAGCTATTGGCCTCCCCACCCCAAAACAACACCCTGCCTGTCAAAAGCACCCAGAGCTGGGTCTTCCTCACCTCCCGAATCGGTACCCTGCCACTACGTGTGTTTTATTTGATGGATGCTGCTTTGCAGAAACCTTTGGGAAAGCCTCAACAAAAGGGAAGGGGAGGGAGGCTGCCTTTCACATTTGCGTTTCTCTTTATTATTGAGTGATTTCTATCCACTCAGTAATTTTCTGGCTATTCTGTATCTTGTGCTCTGTAAAATCAAAGCTGCTAAGAACATGCCACAGATCCACAATATCCCAATGGAGTACAACAGAGCAGAGCAGAGTCCTGGCTGCTGTATGTACTGGGCAGCATCTGAAGCAGGAAACTCAATTCCAGTATCAGGTGTTGAAGAGTAATTTAATTTTTGATGGATAGTTTGAGGTTATTAGTGCTCTGAAATGGTTTCAGAAATCTGTTTGAAGTGGTATTCACACCCTTCTCGGACTGAAGGAGTCTTTTAATGGCTAAGGTTACTTGTCACATTTAGAAAACATTTGGAAAACGCTTTTAAAATCAGTAAACATACAGGCTGCTCTTTCTAGATCTACAGTTTTACCCTACCAAAATGCAGGAGCAGGCATGTTTTCTGCTATCCACGTGCAGGCTTGTCCTCTCCCAGTAACAGACCTGAGCTGACACTGGTACGAGCGAGGCGCCGGTCCCAACTCACGTCAACTTTCTGTCGTGGTCACACTGGCAATATTTTTTTCTCCGTCATGGGATAGCCGTTGTTTGTCATGTAACTTTTGGAACTTCAAATGGTTAGGGTGTTGAATGGTTTTTCTTCTCCATGTGAGATGGATGAAGCTACTTTAAATTCTGTTCAATAAAGGAGTTTTTCAACCTTTCTGTGCTGACATTTTCCTTCCTTAAAGATATGTTACTCTTCACACTTATTTGCTCAGTGATCTGAATCTCAACCTGAAACGATAATCTAAAATCCTAAAGCATTTAAAATATATATTTATCCAAAACTTTTATAACAGCAATAATATATAGGTAACAATGCATTATTGTGTGTGTATCTTATTTTATCCGATTAATACTGAGCAGCATGTATTTTGAGGCAAATTGCTCAAGAAAGGATCGTAGTAAAATTTCCATTGACTTCAGCAGGGCCAGATTTTCACCACTAAGAAAATGTTAAGATCTCCAAGTCAGTGAGCCTGCGCCTAGCGTGCTCGGAGTCGTTAATGGGTAGCTGCCTAATGATCACTGAATTGTGCTGTCAAATTTTGGTTAATATTTTATGAACTCACTCTACTTGTTTTCCTTCTGTAGCTGAATCAAGATGACGACAGCCGCACCACTGATCAATAACACTCAGATCTCAGTAAATGTGACCACAAAGAGCCAAGAACAAAGTCTCTATCAAAGTAAGAAAAATAGTGGGGTGGTGGCTTTTTTTTTTAGTGGACTTTGAACTTAGCAAACTCCAAACAGTACAATGACAACTTTGTAAATAAGACTTTTTTTTTCGTTTCTGCTTCCCTGCTAGGTTCTGGAGCAATAGTTGCTGCCATCGTAGTAGGAGTGATTATTATTTTTACAGTGGTTCTGCTCATATTGAAAACGTATAACAGGTATGTGGCCAAGTTCTATACTTCACTAAGGTGAGACCAGATGAACCAAAATCGTTGTGTGCTCTCATCTAACAGACCATTTCAGTATTGCTGAAAATTTCCAGGATAATCTAAACTATAACGTGCTTGATGGAAGTGTCCTGAATCTCACCATCAGTGTTCTCTGATTGCATTGCTAGGAAGCAGAAAGAGGTTCTTGATGGAGGATGCTTGATGGAAGCTCTTTTTAGGGTTCCTGTTGATATAGGAAAGGTCTGCTGAGTGCATCAAAGCTGCCAGAGAGGAGCTTGATTTCTCACTTTTCAGGGCACTGGGTTAGACTTCTATGCTCTAGAAGCACTGACTTGCCATTTAGTGTCTGTCTTTGGGATGAAATCCTGGTTTACATTGACTTTTCAGTGGCTGTTCAATGTAACCTGCCCAGTATTTACCATGAGAGAGACCACACCACATGCCAGCCCTGGTGACAACTGCATTTTTACCTTTACAGACGCATGAGAGCGAAGCGGGAGCTGGAGCCCAAAACCACCAAAACATCAATGCCACCTGCTTTAGGGCAGAACAGCAGCAGCATGTCTCAGCATCCTGCTGTGACTTTCATACCTGTGGATATTCACCTGCAGAACAGGTAACTGGGAACGCTCGTCCTCCCTGTGAGAGAAGAGAGACGGAATTCCTGGGACTCCTCGGCAAAGCAACGCTGCGTTTGGAACAGCGACAAGCTGTTATTTTGTCTAGAGATGGTAATTAATCCTGCTTTCTCTCTTTGGGAGGAAAAATTAAAAGGTCTGGACAGTTTGTATGACTGAAATCAACTTGTGGAGGCATACAAATCATCAGAAAGGCGGTGAGCCTTCTTGCAGAGCTCTGGGTATGGAGAGAGCGAATAAACCAAGCCCATTTGTTGGAAGAAAAGATGGACACTCAGATTTTGTGGAGCTTTTGCTCACTCGGAGAGTTTGAGCTTTTTCTGTGCGGCAATGACTGATGATAAACGAGAAGAAAAATTTGAACGTGCAAGATACAACTCAGGCTGAACCTGGGTTTGTTATGATTTATGTGAAACAGGGTTGCGGTCTATTTTATACATGATGGATAGCACAGGAAGTATCACAGTTGTATTTATCTTTACTCATCTTTCGTGTTTCTAATGCCACATATGTATGGTTTGAGATAAAAAAGTTACCTTTTATTTTCAAGTATTTTAAAAATATTTCAATAAACTTGGTAACATGCCCATTTCCAAATGAACTCGACATCTAATGGTTTTCACTCTCATGCCAAGAATTGCTTCAGGTTCGTTACTGGAGTTGTGTTAGAATGTTTTGTCTTACACAAAGCCTGAGAAGTTCTTTAGTTGAAAAAGCAAGCGTGGAAAGGCAGGAGACAGTGAGGCTTTACGTCCTGAAGTGCTTTGTTCTCTAATGCAGACTGGGCTCCAACTATTTTTAGATACTTTTGTTTTCTAGAAAGTAACCGACAGCGAAGTTGTTTTGCGAGCATGATGATCGTGGGTGTACAGTAATGCAACGAAGAAATTCCCAAGGATATTCCCAGCCCACCACGTGCAGACACACAGCAGCATTGTCAGCCGTTCGGTGGCTGATTGGCTCAGGAGTGTGTTGGCCAAGCAGCCCCGAAACGCCAGCTGATGGCACGGATGGGAAGGATCAGGAAGAGATGGAGGAATTAAACCTCGTCTGAGGCTCTGAGAAACAGCTCCGCTCTTTGACACACACAGCTTGAATTTTACGGATCAGCCCCCTGCACGGCGGGACAGTGCCAAGCGCACCCAGGAGCCAGGTCGTGGTCTGGGCTTGCTGCGTGGTGCGTGTCGCGCACTGGGACACGGCTCCCAGTCAGCTCTCTGCTGGGGCTGGCAGAGGGCTCCAGCCTGTCCATAGACCGTAGTAAAACCGTTTGTAGGGCATTTTAACTCTTTTCGGGACCTACAGAGAGAAGTTGCTCTTGTCTAACTGAATTATCACTGAGAGCCTCCAGCTTTTTGTCCTGCAGCGGTTCACTCGTGCTTCTTCCCAACACCGGCGTTTTGAGGGACTGGAGTGAGAAAGTGATGTATGTTTTGCAAGATGTGAAGCCATCTCTTGAACAGGTCATTTTTACTAACTGGTATTTTTGTGCAGAAACTAAATTCAATTACTTTGCGATTATTATTATTTTTTGTGTATGAAACTGGAGCACAGTTTGAATTCCAAACTAAATATTAGGACAGCTGTTTGTGAAGTTTCTAAATCTTACTGTAAATATTTTACTTGTCCTAGTTCTCCAACTTATTTTTTGTGGCAGGAATGATTGATATAATCATTCAGAAGGGGCTGCAGGTGTCAATTAATTTATTTTTTTTTTCTAAAAATGTAAAGGAGTTGGCCTCCTGTTTCTATCTCTGATGTTTTCTGAGTATGTTCCACTGTACCAAAATCAGTATCTTTAGAAAAGATAAGCCACATCTGCCTGTTATTTTTTAATGTTACCAGCCAGACCTCCTTCTAGTAAATTTTGTTTATTTTTATGTTTACACCATTTGGAAACGATGAAGTTCACTTTGCTTCCCTGAAGCAGAATAAGCAGTACTACTGGATTGGTAGAATAACTATTATTGGCAGGAGAATTCCTGCTTTGGCCACACCAGCATTGCTCAATCTGAAAAATTCAAAGTGTGCTGTTTTACCAGTAACATTTGCTTCATACTGGCACAGCCTGGGAGGCCCCCACCATCCATTCTGACTCCTGTCAGCAAAATCCAGAGCTTATGCTGACCACGCAAAATCACCTTTTTAAGAAATGAAATTCACTGTATTTCTACTGCACCACCACCATAGCGCTCGGGAAGTTTGCTGTGGGTTTAACGGTTTTCCAGGAACAATCCCACGCTGTTCAGCGCCGAGTCCACCTGCCCTGTCTGAGCAGCTTCCAGCTTCCGCTTTCAAAGCCCCAGTTTTTGGGAAAAGCTCTCCTTTAACTGCTTGTGTGTCCAGACTTGCCATCAGATGAACCTGCTGGTTAATTTTAAGTGAAAGCTGATATTGCAGATTGGTCTAATAAAGAAATCCCAGCCCATGGGAGCCTTTGGAGAGAACAGGCAACGTAACACAGGAACTGATTCACTCAGGCTCATTAGAGACCATCTGTGAAGCTCTGCAAATTCATACAGAGTCGAACCCCTAGTGGAACAGAACCTGAGAGCCTTTTTGCTCAGCAGTGTAACACAACCAGCCTTTCCAGTTCCTCACTCTGTTCTTTCGTTGTTTCTCTCTTTACGAAGCACCCCGGGGCTGTAGTCAGCAGTGACAATGAGAACGTTTAATCTGCAGGTCACATAAAGAAGTATTGATGATTTTTTTTTTCTAGGGGGATTTTTTTTTTTTCTAGTTGGTCTTGCAAGAGTTCTTGCTCCTAAAAGTTTTCTAGGATTTACAGCGTCAGCAGGTTGGATCCTTCAGTCTCACAACTGGCACATTAATGATGCAAGTCCCCGAGGAAAACGTTTCAGTTTTCATTTCAGGGTGGGAGTCCCGTTTCCCGAAACTTCTGCCAGGCAGCTTTCACCCCTGCGTGTCCCCCACCTTCTTTCAGCAGAGCACACAGCTCCACCTAGTGCCCTCCTCCCAATCTGACAAGTTGCAACCAGACAAAACCACAAAACAATTTCAAGTTTTGCTGCCAACTTCACTATATTTCAGAAACCACCTGCCCCCCCGCCCAGCCCTCCTGCCCCTGCTCCAGGACTGAATCCAACACTGTCCCAAGTGGGGCTGTGCGAAACGCAGCGGTACGACCGCTGGCGGTCTAAGTAGATTAAAAATGTAACAACGTTCTTTGAATCTTTTCCCGAGCCCTGTAACCAACCTGTTTCCCAGAACGACATCTGTCAGACCGTGCGTCTCACATCTGGCCTGCTGACAAAGCGGGAAGCAGCGGTTTCAGTAT